TCTCTCTCTAAAAATAAATAAAGTACAATCTTTTTAAAAATAAAGGATTAGAAATAATATATGTTCTCTGACAACAAAGGACTAAAAATTCATATCAATAATAGAAAAAAAATAAGAACCTCACTAATATTGGGAAGTTAAGTAAAACAAATAGACAATGCATCAAAGAAAAAATTAAAATGGTAATCAGAATATACTTTGAAGTGAATGAAAATGAAACACAACATATAGCATACCAAAATTTATGGGATGGACCTTTGGTAGGTTGAAGCACAACTTATGGGATCAAGCTAAACTTACACTAAGAGGAAAAGTTAATACCTGTAAATGCCTGTACTGAAAAAGATGAAAGATCTTAACTCAATATCCTAACTTTTCACCTAAGATACTGAGTGAAAAGTAAACTAACCATAAAGAAAATGGAAAGAAGGAAATAATAGTAAGAGCAGAAATTAGTGAAATACATAATGGAAAGAGATTAGAGAAAATTAGTGAAACCAAAGTTGGTTCTTTGAAAAAATCAACAATATTGACAAAACTTTAGGTAGATTGGTGGATGGAACTGGAGAGCATTATGCTAAGTGAAATAAGCCAGGAGGTGAAAGACAAATATTCTATGATCTCACCTATAAGTGAAACCTAATCAACAAAACAAACAAATGAGCAAAATAGCACCAGAGACTTGGAAATAAAGAACAAACTGACAGTGACCAGAGGGGATGGGGAAGGAGGATAACAGAGGAAAGAAGAGTAAGTGTCAAGTTAAGGAATATAAATAGAGGACTCGTGGGCATAGACAATGGGGGATTTGACTTTTGGAGTGGGGGGGTGGGATAGTGGAGAGCAATGGGGCAAAAGACAGGACAACTGTACCTGAAAAACAATAAAAAAGAAACCTGAAACACTAATTCAAAAAATACATGCACCCCTATGTTCATTGCAGCATTATTTACAATAACCAAGATTTGGAAGTATCCCAAGTGTCCATCAGTAGATGAGAAGATAAAAAAAGTTGTGGTACATTTACACAATGGAATACTACTTGGCCTTAAAAAAAGAAGAAAATCTTACTTCGTGACAGCATGGATGGACCTGGAGGGCATTATGCTAAGTGAAATAAGCCCATCAGAGGAAGACAAGTACCATACGATTTCATTCATATGTGGAATCTAATGAACAAAACAAAGTAACAAACGAAATAGAAACAGACTATAGATGGAGAACAGAATGACAGCAGTCAGAGGGGAGAGTGATTGCAGGGCTCAGTGAAAAATGTGAAGGGATTAAGCAAAAAAAAAAAATCCCTCATAGACACAGACAACAGTATGGCGATTACCAGAGGGAAAGGGGGTTGGAGGGCAGAAGAGAGTATAGGGGGATAAATGGTGATGGAAGGAGACTTGACTTGGAGTGGTGAACACACAATACAATATATAGATGATGTATCATAGAATTGTACACCTGAAACCCATATAATTTTATTAACCAATGTCATCCTAATAAATCCAATAAAAATAAACACTTAGAATATTAAAAATAATAGAATAAATTTCTTAAAAAGAGTTAACATCTATTATGGGTATGATAAGGAGTTATTCAGGCTGAGTGTGCAAAGAGTGGTTGAGAGAATGTTTCAGGTGTGGATAAATGTGGGAACAAAGACTAGGACTTGAAAGAGCATGAGCTTTGAGGAGGTGGTGGGAATTCATTCAGCACAACAGTGTTTTTGTTGTTGATACTACTTATTAAACACCAACTGTTGCAGAGTAGAGATTAAGAGCAAGGGCTTTGACCTTAGGCAAGCATTCCATTTAATAAATTGTTGGCCTTAGACAAGACAAGTTCTCAATGCTTCACTTTCCTTTTCTATTAAATAGTAGGTTAGTGACATAAGATCTGAAAAAGAACTGAGTTTATAGAAGGTAAGAAGTCAAAAAACTATTCATACAGTTACAATGCAAGGGTAATACAATTATCCATTAGGATAAAAATTTTAAAAAATAGTTATTTCTTAATCAGATAGCAGGAGGCCTGGATATCAAAGTAAGATATCAAAATGCCACTTAAGAAAATGTGATTCTTTCTCTTAGTGAGCTAAAAGGCTTCATGTTATTTGTAGGTATGTGTATGCATGGGTGTGTATATATTGCACTGTACCTCCTGTCCTTCATTTTTCCTTTATTGACACATGGTAAACATATTGTACATATGGATCTAACTCATTCCTTTAAGCAGATTCTTAACTCACACTATACCAAAAATATTAAAGGAGATTCAGGAAAAATATTTAAATAGACATTTCTCAAAGAAAGACATAAAAATGGCCAATAAGTACACAAAAATATGCTCCATATCCAACCAAATTATCCATCAAATGATGCAACTGTTTTTGCTAAGGCTTTTGCAAAATGCTGTTGTCAGAATATCAGATACGTATCTATCTGCTTTTGGATACTGTTACCTGTGAGTGATCCTCCTCAAACTTTACCCTAACCTTGAACTTTTCTTGCAGACGGAACAGACCAGCTTTTCTCATAGCTTTTGTCTTTTCGTTCTGTAGAAGGAGCAGTGATATAGGGGATCTAGGCTTACTTTCAAATGCACACACTTTCCTGTCAGTTTATTGTGCAAAATTTTGCATAAGATTACTCCTGTCTTTAGCATCATAGTAAATTCATTGGTATTGCTCCTCTACTTCTTTTATTTTATGCATCAGGGTAGCTATGTGTTTCTGTAACTTTAAAGTTCTTCATAGACTATTTACTTTTGGTTGATGTTTTCATTCAGTTATTTAGGATTCATTCAAAATCCTATGTATTTAAGTAAAAACTGGAGAGAGTTACACATGCCCTACACTCTACAGTGTAATGAATTATTTACTTTATTTAACTTGGAACTGGAAGTCAAAATTTGTAATATTAAGAAAGGTTTGCCATTCACATTAAGGTTTATTGCACAGAGAGACTTATTGCCAGAGGCAATTTGCCTTGGGTCCTGAATATCCGTGCATGTTATAATTAAGTGCACCAAGGGGTAAACCCTGATATCTCTTTATACAGGTAAGCCATTTCTCACAGTTGTTTTCAACAAGCAACTTGAGGGATGAGGTAATGTTTTTCACTGGACAAAGAACAAACTTGCTTCTGTTTACCAAAAAAGTGGTGAATTCTCCAAACTCAGGGTTTCTTTCTGCAACATAATGCACTGTATGTGCATGCATCTATAATGGGCCCTGTGTTACTGTGGAACCTGCAGACCATGGATAAGTGATACAAACTAGTATGAAACACTAGCTAGTACTTTTGCCATGAGTAATAATGTCCTTTGTCTCTGACTGGGATTCTAGTGTCTTCTGCCATTATCTATTAACCGGTAGCAGTTAACCTGTTAAAGTATACGTAGGGTAACATCTTAGACTGCACAGTTTTTGACAGGTGTTTCCAGATATTATCCCTAAATAAATTATGCTAAGGCAATGTTTCCAACCAGGATGATTTTTGCCATATCGGTATACCACCTATGCTATTAATATTGTGTTCTACTTTATTATTGTCTTTAAAGTCACTCACTTATTTAATATAAATACTTTTTTGAAAAGGAACATTTACAATACTACCCTAACTCTAAACTATCATTATTTGCCTTACACAGAGAGTGTTCGCTAATACACATTCAAATAAATACAAGGATATTACAACTTAATATTTGTAGCCCTGGCCAGTGTGGCTTAGTTGGTTGGAATGTTGTCCCATACACCAAAAGGTCATGGGTTCAATTCCTGGTCAGGGCACATATCTAGTTTGTGAGTTAGATCAACAATCAGTGTTTGTCTGTCTCTCTTTCTCTCTCTCTCTCTAAAAGCAATGAAAAAATGTTTTCAGACATTTATAGACAGGATGGGTTCATTCTGTCTGAAAAACTGCCACAGTGAGCCCCTGGACCCTCATTTCACTCCAGCTGGAATGCAGCCAGAGCAGCAACCATCAGGCTGTTGCAAATTTGAAGAACACTCTGGAGACATAAATTGACCCTCAAAAAAGCATCACAGAGGAAAAAGAAAATAACATAACTGTGAGCCAGATACATATATAGATATGCAGATTAAGATATAGATATAGTTATACCATTCTACATAGTACTTTCATGTTTCCAGGTAAGGATGGGAATATCTCCAAATCTGACTTTAATATTCCTTTACAATTTACACATATCTAAGGGTACCTGTTGAACTGGTGAAGTGGGCTTGCCACCAGTTTTCTGGAAGATATCATTCACCTTAAGGAAATAAGAGTCAAGAAGATAAAACCATAATATTTAGACTCAGAGAAAGCATAATGTCTGTTACTCAGACTTCTCATCTGGTCCAAACCCCAAACAGACCCATTATGTCTGACTGATGGGCAAGAAGGGGTCCATGATTAAAATCCCAGGTGTCAAGGTATCTATATCATGACCCAAGTGGTCCTGCATGTCTGTCTAAATTGAAAAGATGGGCATTCTTCCACATCTGCAGAGGTCAGTCTGGTTCAGCCTACTGAATAAATGTATTGTGTTTCATTATTTGAGAATCCCATAGTATCATCAGCAGTAGAGGCCTGAAAAGTACAGAACCTGGATGAAAGGGCAGTAATAGCCAATATATATGGTAGTATCAAGGTGGGGAGGATGGGCAGTTAGGCAGGTACAGCAGGAGAGGAACATAAAAGTGGTACAACTTTAACAGTTGGCCTGGATTTGTTCTTAAGCATAGGTGAGGACTTTCTCTACCTTCCCAAATAGTTGAAACAAATCTTTTGGGAGTTGGGATCCTGCATGGGCAGATGGGTTAAAAAACCTGTCAGATAAAGCTTAGTGATTATCATATTTGGTCCTCACAAGGCCCCTTAGAGATCATTATTTTCTCTATTTCACAAGTATCCTATCAACAGATATAAAACATCCCAGTGCCTTTAGAAATAAATTGATAAGTGCTAGTGATTATTTATTTTTGTTATAAAACTTTTATTATTTTAACAATGCACATACATTCTAAGAATAAGGAAAAATACAAGTAAGCAGAATTTTAAAAAACACTCATAATCTTGCCACTTAACATACATTTCTGTCTTTTATCCTTCACATGTTTTTCTGTGCATATATTTCATATACAAATGTACCCTTTCCTTTTAAAAATATGATATTCACATATTCCTTAGTAACATTTTTTTTCCATTTTATATCCTGTCAGGAACCTCTTTTTGTACAAACGAGTAAAGCTCTCTCTCCTATTAAAATGCAGACACTTAAAGATTTGTTCAAAATATGATAAACAATGAGATGTAGAAGCAAGAGATGCATCTAAAAACCACTATTATAGCAACACCTTAAAAGTAGAAAAATGAACAAAGGTTTATCAGGAAAATGCAAATCCAAAGAAAGCTATATGGCAATGTTAATATTAGAAAAAATAAAAATCAAAGTAACCTACATTAAATAGGGGTAAGGGTGGTTTCGATTAATCTTCCAACGCATCACTGTAAGTTTGTTTCTTACTCTCCTTATCTCATCTAATTCATTTACTTCTCTAACCATATCATCCTTGCTTAAATGCCTATTGTGTATATCTTCTTTAAATTCCTGGAGAGACTGAATCAGCTTTTCTCTAAGTGTTCCTTCTGTTTTTTCCTCCTCCTTTGGCTCTTCCTCCTCCTCTGGCTTTTCCTCAGATTTTGGCTCTTCCTCAGGCTTTGGTTCACTTTCATTTTCTGGTTTTCCTTCAGTTTTTTGACAGGGTTTCATCTTGTGTCTGTCCTCTTCCTTCCTTTCCTCTTTTTTTCTCTTCCTTTCTTTTTCTCCTGCTTATTTTTCTTTGAATATAATTGCTTCTAGGAAGCAAGGAGATAGTAGGTCAAAAGCTTGGTGACTGGGCCCGTGCTCTGGGCAGAGATCTCAGTATTTGCTTTTTCTGTTTGTTTATGAGCTGTCATCCAATATCTTCCACCCAGGAGACTCATTTAGCAATCAGGGCTTCCCTGAGCCCACCCCTCTTACCTGCATTTCCCATCGCCTCACCTCTCTGTTGCTACTCCCTCCAGCCATTTCCAAGGCCCTCCTCAACCACTTACTGCACAGGACATAACACAAGACCCTCCAAGAACAGAGTAGTCTGAAAGCAGGGCTGGGGGGGGTGAGGAAGAGTGGGGCCCACACCTCAGTCTCGCCCTTGCCCACCTCCACCCTAGGCTTCTTTATATTACCCTCACCTACCAGGACTGATCCGGTCAGTTTCTTGTCTTTTCTACTGGTTGTGTAGTATAGTGGACAACAGATCTGCAGATCTGCGGACAAATGGGAAGCGGGAGGGGAAGGGATGGGAGAGGGAGGAGGGAGTGGAGGTGGGGCAAATGCTTGGTGACCAGCAACACGCACTTTTTCCCTCATTAAGGTTTTGGTTATGGAAACTTTCTCACCTCTGTTCTCCCCAGTTATTCCCCTCTCCACAGTGTAAGTGAGCTTGAATTTCCCATCAGATAGGTAGTAGGAAAAGCAGGTTATTTCTGAACTATCGTTAAGACTTAAGCAGGGGTTGGGGAAAGGGTGGGTTTTGGGTATGTGGTCTGGGAAGTCAGAGGATGATTATTTTAAAATTACCACACATCTCCCTGTCTTTCTTCCCAGACCCTTAGTGCCCCCATTTCCAAAAGGTCATAATTTCCTGCAGACGCGGAGGTGGGAAGTGGAGAGGTGATTGGACCAGGTCCCTGCCCTAGGCCACCCCCATCCTGGATATTTTGACACCAACCTGCAAAATTCTGGCCAATTGACTTCTTTGCCTTCCCTGGCCTCAGGCATCGGCCATCAAGCTACAGAAGGAAGCTGGTACCCAGGCAGGAACAAGAAGCAGACTAGCAGGACTTTTGTACACGTCGACTCTTGGTCATGTGAGATGTACGTCACCAGTGAGCTCAGGTCCCTAATTTCCACTCTCACCAAAAGCGCGACACAAGTAAGCCTGCTCTCGGTCCCTCCCCCTTGTGGGTCCTGTCAGGCTTTTTTGTTTTTGAGTATCCCAAGGGGAAATTTTTCATTTGTCTTTCTCTGGTTACAAGAAGGGGCTGCATCTTTTTCTGGAGCTACTAAACTTTTCTACTTCTTTCCAGAATTCTCTTCCTGCCTTCTGCTGCTACCATTAAGAATTCCTACAGCTGTCGCCCCACCCCCAGCCTCCATTTCATCTGCAATCCGGTCCTTGGTTGTTGCTGTTGTGGGGGTGTGTAGGTTTGGAATTGGGTTGTAAAAATAAAAATCCTGGGACAGGAATGAGATTTTTTATTCTAGTTTTTACTTTGTTCTTAAAACACACACACACACACACACACACACACACACATACACATCTCTTTTAGTCAGAAAAGGCAAAGATAAAATTACTTTAGTTAACTAGTACAAATTGGCTGTTACAAAATAGTCAAGGAACGTAAAGTGTAACATAAGGGAATACAGTCAATAATATTGTAATAACCATGTGTGGTGCCAAGTGGGTACTAGACTTATGGGGGGGGGGCTAACTTTGTAAGTTACATACATATATAACCAGTATGATGTACACCTTAAACTAATATAGTATTGAATCCCTACAGTAATTGAAAAAATAAAAAATATATTTAAAAAGAAGACGCTATGGTCATCTCAGAATAAAACCTCAAGCCACCCAGACTACATTTTCAGAATCAGGTTTACCAGAGAAACAACAATAGAAGGGTATTCCTACTTACTTGGAAAGGGTCACATAATGTGGGGACTTGAAGTTTTGATCTTGGTGTTAGCAGGAATCAAGAAACTTGGAGAAAAGCTCACTAAAGCATACTCAGGAACAAATCAACTTATGACATTTAAGGGAAAGAATCCATACTTGTAAACTTTATCAAAGGACACATTCTCTTAAGCTCTATCGTTTGGAATTCAATATTTTTATCACATTTGCAAATGATGGGATTGGTGACAGCAGACACATGTCCCTGTATTGCCTAGCCAAATCATTTTTCTACTTTGGGTGCTTGGGCTCTTTTATTGGTAGAAATCAATGAGACTAATAAACAGGTTTCAAATATTAAAAAATGAGTTAATGCATGTGCAGTCTTGAAAATATTGGCTGGCATATAGTAAGGGCTTTAAAAGTACAAGCAATTATTATCATTGTTAGGATTTCATTTGGGGAAAAGAATTCAAAATGGGGAAAAATAATGTTTGATTCCAGAGCCCTCCTAGTGGTATTTGCCAAGAAGCTGCACTGCTGCAGACTCCTCAATTGTTTCTTCATCTGTAAGAAGGGAATAATAACATACACTTCATATAATTGACTACTGGGAATTCTAAATGATAACATTTGACAAGAAGCACTTCACTTACATAAAGTCTTCAACAGATATTGATTATCTTTCAACCTCAGTTCAATCTTTGGTAAAAGTTGTAACTTTGCCAATAAAAATTGCATAGCTCTCAGAGGTACCAATTGAAAAATAACAAGGAGACATGAATATGTATTTTTGTTTTCTATAAATTTTGATGACCTTTTGTGAGGCAGAATAAAGACCTCGCTGGATTATGAGGAAAGAATTAAAACCCTCACTGCATCTCATTTTATTTCACTTGCTCTTCTGTCACATTATTCTATCTTCTCATAAGCATGTGTATTTGAGCACCAGAAAACCCAAAATATAATTGGGTCTCCTGGAGAGAACACTTTGAGGGAGGGGCATGAGATGTTAGGCCCAGTGCCAGACCTAGAATGTGTTACTGGTCCAAGGTCTGTGTGTCCAATGCTTCAAAAGGCCCAAACTCAAAACATCAGAGTTTGGAGTAAGGAAAGGTTTATTAATCAAAAACTCTCCAACTGAGAAAATGGGAGACCTAATCCTTAAATCCATCCTAAAGTACAGATTTAAGGCTTCTTTTATGTCAGTGGAAGGGGAGATGAGAGGCCAAAAGGTGATTGATGACCACAGCAATCTGGGTGTCAGCAGAGCTCCGAGGAAGATTGTGCGTAGTCTGTTGACCCTAGCTGATGTGGGTCCAAGTCACAAGGTTTCTGTAAGTCTTTGATGAACAATACATACTTTCTTTATCTCCTTGGGGAGAGTCACCCTCTGGCAATAGTCTCTTTTTTTTAAACCTCAAAACTCAAGCAGAATGTCTCCAATGCTTAGCATATCTATATACAAGAAGCTATCAATCATGGGAACAAACCCGGCTTGAACAAGATGGAGTCAGAGAGGCAGAGCATTTCACTCGTTATAAACTAACTGAGTGACCTTAGTAAGCTATTGTCCTTGCATCTCTAAAATATATCACTGGCAAGCTCTGAAAACCTTAGAAAGAAGCATGCAATGGGTAAAACATTTGGATATATTGTGTTTGAGAAGATTGAAACATCCTGAATGGAAGCTATTTTTCTCCAGCTTGATGGAAATGGTTCCAGAAATCTTTAGAATATCTGAAAAGTGAAAGGTGTTTCACAGCCATTATCTCATTTTATGCTCCTAATAACAACTGAAAAGAAGGTATTTTTATTTCCATTTTGTATATGAAGAAATTAAACAGAGAAGTTAAGCACTATGTCTAAAGACATTATCTCCTTAGATCTGAGCAGAAAAGGCCTCCACCTGAGGCCCCGCTTTTGGAAGGTCAGTATCTGGCCCTCCTCTCGAGGCTCTCTTCCTTCAATAGTGAAGAGTCAGTGGGGCAGGATGTGCCTTCTTGGAGCCTTCACTTCTTTCCTTCTAAACCATACTCTAGATACCTAGTACCCTAGAATATCCTGTGCAAGGGGTGTGGAACCCAAATCCAAGGCCTGCTTGTGCCTCTTCTCCAGGTCTATCCTCCTGAGAATGGGCTCTATGGATGAAATAGAAGATATAACTTCAAAGGCAGAACTCCATAACATGAAACCATTTGGAGAAATGACTAGAGGAAAGGGTGGACTTCCAAGCCAGTAGGATCTCAGAAAAGACAGCCAGTTAGCTAATTAGCCCGAGACAACCTCAAGGAGGAAAAAGACCTTGACCTGGACATCAGAGTGTGGGTAGGATGTAGAGGGAGGGTGGGAAGAAAAGAGGAGACCAGTTTGACTGAATCTAGGCCCTGTGCCCTTACCATTACCCTGTCCTGTTTTGTGCTGCTTTGCTGGGTAAAAGTCCACTTGCTCCTTCTTAGGGGTGCTTAAGTCTATTGACGATGGCTGCCATCTAAAAGCAGACTCGATGCAAACATTTTTGGACATGTCCTGTGCTATCCCCAAGGACTTGAGAAAGTCATGACTTATTTACAAGTCATGAAACAAGATTCAGTCAACCAACAGAGGGAAGATGGCAGAGGAGTGAATGGAAGTCACACTGACCACCTCCCAGGGCCAATCTGGAATTACAACTCAATTGTGGCGAAACCACCTGGAACAAACAACTAAGCAATAGCCAGAGAGAAGCCATATAAATTTGGACAGACTGAAGAACCAGCTTTGGCACTACCTGTCTGACAAGGATTGTGTTAGAGATTTGAGAGGGCTGCCTGGGTGCCCATGGACATCAATATCAGAGAGATAATTAAGCACTGGTTAGATCTCTCTGAGAAGAACGGGGTCTAAACCCTAAGCTAGGATACCCAGTCTAGAGTGACAAAGTCCCAAAATGTACACAGATAACAACCAGCAGTGTAAAGTGGTAAGGTTGCTCTCTGCCAGAGACAGACTGCTGGAGATGCAAGGGCTGTTTAAAGGGCCAACATACAAATTTTCATTTTCAGCCACTTACTATGGGCTCTGGCAAAGGCAGGGGCAGAGTGGGCTGGAGACGCCTGAGGAGAGACTAGGGATGGAAGCCTTGGGGGAGAGAATTGAGAGAGTAGCTGCTGGGACCCTGGTGCTGAGTCATCCCCTAGACAGTAGCAGCCTTTGGGCTCAGGCAGACCACTCCCCTCTGTGCAGTAGCAGCCTGAGGGGAAACAGTAGCCCTGAAACCAGGAGGGTCTCTGTCCTGGCCCTTTGGTGCTTAAGCCTGACTGCTGAGTGCTAGTGACTAGAATAAAAACCAAAGGAGAGAACCAGAGACAGTAGATCACTGCCAAAGGCAGGGGCAGAGTGGACTAGAGAGACTTGAGGAGAGACTGGGGACAGAGGCCTTGGAAAGAGAACTGAGAGTAGCTGCCTGGATCTTGGTGCTGAGCCAACCCCCATAAGGCAGCAACCATCCTGCTTAAGCAGACCACTCCCCTTTGGGCAGCAGCAGCCTGAGGGGAAATAATAGCCCCTAACTCAGGAGGGATTTGACCCACCCTATGGTGCTTAAACCTGACTGCTGAGTGCAGAGTGAGTAGATTAACAACAGGAGGAGACAGCCAGGGAAAGCAGATCCCTGGAAGTATCCAAAAGGCTGCCTAAGTTCAGACAGGGTCAACATCTGATATCACCAGAGGCCGATCCAGAAAGAAAAAAAAAAGTGGTAAATACAAGAGGCTACTGAAACAAAATCCACTGTGGTCTTCTCCATGATTTGTAATATTTCACCTCCTGCATAGCTTTTTAACATTCATTTCTTGATCAGCAAGTTTGTACATACTAAGTCACAAGATTTTACACTATAATGTATTTCAATTCATATATTTTCCCTCCCTTCTCTTGGCCCATTTTACTTTCTTTTTTCTTTGCATTATTTCATTTCAAATTTTGTTTTCTCTCATGCTACAACTTGTTTGCATTCCACACTCTTACTATTTCTCTCCTGTCCAGACACTCAAAATAAATTTTCTTATCAAGGGTCATTTCACATCCATTTGCCCAGCTCTTAAAATAACCACACTCTCTCTATACCTTTAACAATCTTTGCTAGTTGGTTGTGGATAGGGTAGTTCTGATTGCATTATTTTTTCAATATTATATCTAGAGC